AACACACACAACAATGATGGATTAAGTTCACTGCTTTATATTGGTGTGGTTGGTGATGCCCCAAAACAATGACAATAGTAATATCAAAGATCACTGATCACAGATCATCATAACAGATACAAAGAAAAAGTTTGAGATATTGTGAGAATTACCAGAATGTGACACAGAGACACAAAGTGAGCACACAGAGTTAGAAAAAGGTGCTGGTAGACTGGCTTGACACAGGGTTACGACAAACCTTCAGTCTGTAAAAAATGCACTCTCTGTGAAGCACAACAAAGCAAAACATGATAAGATGGGGGCATGCCTGTTTCTTTACTTAAAATAGCATGGAATAGCAAATAAAAAACACCATGAAGGAGAGAGAGAGACAGAGAGAGAGGCACATACACAACATGAATGGAAGAAGAGGAACTTTATATTTACTACTTTGCATGGCACTTTTACCCTGCCTTTTGAACACAGGCCCTATGTTGTCATTTTGCACTGGGCCCTGGTGCTCTTGTTGGCTCTGGTTCTTCTCATTGCAATGCCCCTTCCTTCTTTGCCTGGCTAATTTCCCCTCATGCTACAAGACAGTTAGGCCACCACCTCTTTTTGGAAAAGGGTCCTGGGCTGCCTCAGTCTCCCTCTGTGACCCACTGTGGCCTGTGCCCTCCAGTGCTCACCACCCTGGTTGAAGTCATGTGTCTGTGTCAGTCTCACATACAAGCTGTGCAACTCCAGGACAGGGCCCCTGCCGTATCTGTCTTTGCATCCCTGACACCCACGGCACTCACACATCCTGAGGGCTCAGCACTTAATACTGGGCCAAATCCAAGTATTGTTTCCATGCTTAGAGCCCTCTCTACCTCTTTTAGCATCGAGTCCCTACTTCTCACGTCCTTCATCATCAGGCCCCGGCTCCCTGCTCTGGAATTCCATCACTCTCCCTCATGTGTCCTTATCTGTGCTGGCACACTTGGGCTGCCTTCCATTCCCTGCCCACCTTGGCCTATGCTCTTGGCTCTGCCTGGAGAGTTCTTCTCTGCCCTCTGAGCCTGGTGAGCTGGGGAACAGCCTCAGAGAGGAGCCCCATCACAGAAGTGATGCGACGCCCCTGGACAGCGTGCATCCATTGCCAGCCACACTTCCCACCTGCTCAGCCACTTCAGTCACTGCTGCCTCCCTGAACCTTTGGGAAAGTGACCACTTCTTGCTCACTTTGGATCTTTGCAGCCGAGCACGCTGTAGTGCTGGATGAATTATTAATACTAGTTGACTCTTTATCCTTATCAAGAGGCTTAGACTTTAATCCTTTACCACCTGCAAGGATATATTTTATCCATTTTATATTCTTATTTCTAGGGCCAGAGGCCCCTGTGTTATACAATGACTGGATTCCCAGTGGTTTGAGGGAGTTGGATTAGCAGTGTCAGCAAAGAGACTGAGACCAGTGGAGCTGGGGCCGGGGGAGCTGCCTGTCTAGTGACTTAGAGTCTGGGCTCTGCAGAGGCTCTGGAAGCTGCCCCAGCCCACGTCAGCATCGCCTTCCTTGGGCTGCCCCAGACCAGCCTCCCTGACACGAGACAGGCAGGACTGGCCATCACGCCCCATGGTCAGCGCAGCTGGCCAAGCCTCGGGGTGGTTACAGTCATCTGCTTTGTGGGGGAGACATTCTTCATAGTTCATGGTATTTCCTAGATTCAAATAGGAGCCAGGCTCTCTCTGGTATTGTCATAAACTGACTGTCCTCTTTGTCTGCTGCTCCTACCCACCCTCCCCCACTCCAAACCAGCCCCTTCTACAAAATGCATCAGGAATTGTAGTTGCAAAAGTTTGGGAATCTGCAGAGCCTTGGCCACGTGGCAGTTTCATTTTGCTGCAGTAGCCTGAGCTATTCCCAAAGCCAGGGCTGTCGGGAGCAGAAGCATCTTCTTGGATGGTACCAATCCTACCCAAACCCCAGCTCCAATTACTGACAACATTTTTCCTCTCTCTGCCCTAGAGCTATACTATGGCCAAATGCTTTGTTTGCACAGCCAAAAATAAATTCTGATTTACTTGTTTTTGGATTTTTTTTGAACATTTTATAACTATCCTGAGAATAATGGTAGACATTTTAGGACATCACAAAATCAGGATTGGAAACTATGGGATAAAATCTTTCTTTTAAAATTAGCCCTGTTTACAATCACATCTTAAATAGCTCAAAAATCAAAATTACTGGATTCATCAAACAGCAAACAAGCTTTCCCAGGTAGCAAATCAGTGGCCCGTGTCTATTTCAGTCAAAAGCTTTTTAGTTTACTGATGACTGGGAGATGTCAGCACATCACAGTCTTCCTTGGCCAGGCACAGGCAAGTCAGGGGTCTGCAGAGAATGTTAGGGTAGGAAAATCCCATCCACACCAACAGCAGCTGGAGGGAGGCACTTGGCAGTGATAAACTATTGAAAATAATTCCCAGAAACAAACTTGTCAAAGTTCCGCATTGCCTAGACAGCCAAACCTTTCTTCTTCTCTGGGCCACCCCCTCTTCTCACCCCTTGGCATTTGAAGAACATACTACATCTGTGTCCATGTCTATTTCTTCTGCAGTCAGCATATGAGGTGAGAACCCCAGCTCCTCCGAAAAATGCCACGGGTTAGTCTTTAAGCAAACCTTACATCCTCAGCATGATGATGCTATTCTAGTTAAACAGAATATTGAACAAGAGAAAATGTCATTTCTACCACCAGGTAAATGGCTGCTGGGACACCGGGCTTCTCTGGGCATCAGCATCTCAGTCAAGCTACTGGAGGGAGAAAGAGTTCTAAGTGTCCCTGAAAACAGCAGAAAAGCCTGCTGGTGGCAAAGCCCTGGGGAGGCAGTTGGGGACAGGCTGGGTTCTGGGACCCAGCTTGGTAGGTTATGGAGAGAGTGGATACCTCACTCCTGGCTAGCAAGTCACCGAGGGAAGAGGTTCCCAGGTTGGCAAACACCATTGCCTGATGGCGTGCAAGGTGTGTGGGTCCTACCTGCAGCCTGTCTTCACTGTTAGCATTCTGGAAAACTGTGGTACAGGTGACAGGGACCAGATTTCTAAATATTTGGAGGGATGTTCCCACTCACCCAAGGGTGACAGGAAGCTGAAATGGTGAAGTATGGGGGCCCAGGGAAGTTCACTCCTATGGCAGAGGGGGAGATGGAGTGTTGGGCTCAGGGCCTGTTCTCAAGAGCACAAAGGCTAGGCTGTCCAGAGCTGGTGCACAAGTGGCAGCCTCTGCTCTGACCCCAAGGCAGTCTGCAGAAATACAGCAGGACCCCCGCTTCAGAAACTTAAACATTCTCTCCTGCTCCCACCCTCACCTCTGAGGTCCAAGAACTGCTTTCTTGCTTAGCTTCCTCCAGGCAAGGGTTCATGAGAGTTTGCCCCAGGGTCCATTTTAATGGGCTATTTCACTGCTCTCATTCTGCCATTATTCTGAAACTTTCACCCAATAAGAATCCATTGCTGTATCATGACCTGGTAAACTTCCCGCAGAAAACCATAGCATATACTGAGACCCAGAGAAGGCAGAGACTTGGCCAAAGTCACACAGTTATCTATGGCAGAGAGCAGAGTGTCTGACTCCCGGCAGGTGCTCCTTCACCACCCTGTCTCTGGCAGCAGCTTGTACCTTATGCTGAGGAGGGATTGGGAATGAGACTGCAAGGGCAAGAAAAATTGGAGACGGGAAAGATCCGTATAAGGCAGGCCATATCCTCTGTCAAATCAAGTGTATTTTTCAACAAACATTTTGATGAAATTATTACTCAATAGTGTTATTTTTCAGTCATGATCAGTGGTGATTTAATGAATGTTTGGTTTAGTTCTTTCTGGAAGAGACATTTGTAACTAGCTCCCATTTTTCCTTTTGTAGTTGCCTTTTTTCTCTACTTTACTATTTCACTGCTCTGAGTTCTCTTGGGCCATGGAGCTCCCAGGCACAGAATAGGGCTGCATTATCCATGCTTCTGGAACATACCTTGTTCTTTTAGACCTAACAGTCAGGAGGCTTCCCTTCTCTGCTTAGAAAACTCCTCTTCAGGCCGGGCGCAGTGGCTCACGCCTGTAATCCCAACACTTTGGGAGGCTGAGGCGGGTGGATCATGAGATCAGGAGATCGAGACCATCCTGGCTAACACGGTGAAACCCCTTCTCTACTAAAAGTACAAAAAATTAGCTGGGCATGGTGGCAGGTGCCTGTAGTCCCAGCTACTCAGGAGGCTGAGGCAGGAGAATGGTGTGAACCCAGGAGGCGGAGCTTGCAATGAGCCAAGATCGCACCACTGTACTCCAGCCTGGGTGACAGAGCGAGACTCTGTCTCAAAAAAAAAAAAAAAAAAAAAAAGAAAACTCCTATTCATCCTTCGAATCTCAGCTCAAATGACACCTCCTTAGATAAGTTTCCCCAGCCTTCCTGGCAGCCAGGCCAAGCTAATATTCCTTCTTTCTTTCCTCTGTTTCTCCATTCCTCTGCTACAGCACTTGTCACATGGTGCCATGATGTTTCTATGCTCTCCACGGGTGGGGTTCATGATTTTGCACTGAGGCCCATTGCACTGGCTATTCCCCGGCTCTCCCTCTGCTACAAATCTGAGACTTTTCCCCCAGTAAAAACCCTTTGTTCTTTTATGACTTGGTAAACTTACCACAGAAAAATTCACTTATTAATCACTGGATACCCCAATAGCCATCACAAAGCCTCATGTACGGAAAGCCCTCAACAAATATTTATAAAACTGACTCCTGAAGCCAAATCTTGGCTCCATTAATTTATATATCTATTTTAGGAAAAAGAGTCCCACTCTTGCCACTGGCGCAGTTTCAACACGTAAACGCTAGATGTTAAAGCTAATCGGTGGTCAAAGGCGTCACTCCATTTGCCATAAAGAACTTTGACCATCTGGTCCCTCCCTCTCCTTTCAACGTATTTTCAGACTCAGCCTTTTACCTGAGCTGATCAGGAGACCAAAGCCAGGTACAATGAACTTACCTATGACATTCCGGATGTCATCTTCTTCTTCGGGGCTCAGCGTGGGGCTGGCAGGGGTTGTTCCCTGCCCAGCAGGAGCATCTTTCCCCAGCGAGTCTGTTCTGACTGTGGTGGGAGGCACTGGGACTGTGTGCACAGCTGCCATCAATGCCTCCCTGGGAGACACTGCCGGAGGAGCTGGGGCTGCTGGTTGCTGGGTGGCTGTGTGGGCCACGGTGGTGGCTGGCACCTGAGGAGAAGGCTGCAGGACTGACTCCCTCGTGGGATCTGGAGACACCGAGGTTGTTTGGAATGTTGCTGAGAGTGGTTCCACTGAGGCACGGTTGGCAATGCTAGGAGCTGAGGTTGAGGGCTCTGGCAGGGCCGAGGACCAGGGTACGATCCGAGCGTTCAGGTCGGTTGTCACAGCAGTGCTGTGTCCCTGATGGGTGGCTGTGGGCCTCTGGGTGGCACTGGTCATCAGGTCATTGTGTCTCAGGAGCTGATCTTCAATCAGCAAATCCACTCCATTGTCACCGCTGAAAAACTCATCTTCTGTGAAACAAACACAAGGTTCACTGTGGCACGGGAGAGAAACAAGCTACAGATGACAAGAGCACATGGCAATGGGCAGGTGAATTACAGGGTGCCTTTCCTTAACACGATGGCCTGACTTAAAGAGGGGGCCTGGCTGGGATTTCAGAAGAACGTGGACAGGAGCACAGGTGGAAGGACGTTGAATTTCCAGGAGGTTTCTCTGAATTCACTGCAGCCATGCTCCCCCCAGGACTCAGGGGTCACTGGCAGGACGCATCGGGGTCCTAAACCCCGATGGCTGGGAGTAAGTGAGTCATCCAATCCATCCATCCAACACATGTTTATGGAGTATGGATAACAATAGCGAGCAAAACAAGAATCCTTGACCTCATGGAGCTTCTATTTAGTGGTGGAGACGCTAAATAATAGACAGGATTGTGCAATTGAAGGTGCTATGGGGAACAAAAAGTAGGGTAAAGAGGGTCAAAAAAGCTAGAAGGGAAGGGAAACTTGCAGAGAAGAATAAAGTGGTGAGGATGAGATGCATTGAGCTAGGGAGATGAGCAGCTGCCTGGAGGAGGAGAAGGAGTCAGTTGAGCAGCCATCAGGCACAAAGATTCCAGGGGTGATTAACCACAGAGCAAAGGCCCTGAGGCAGGACATGTGTGCGGTGGCCCAGGAGCAGCGAGGTGGCCAGCGTGACTGAAGCAGAGGTGAGGTCAGAGCGAGGACAGGCACTGGGCATGCGTGACTTACAGGCTGTGTATGGAGTTCAGTTTTTATTCTGAATGAAATGGGGGAGGCTGCAGGATTTTGAACAGAGATAGAACATGGAGAGGCAAACATTTCTTACAGAGGACACAAAGAGCTCTAACCACAAAAGAAATAACTGGTAAAATAGACTTCATGTGCTCATCAAAAACACCATTAAGGAACTAAAAATGCATGCCATAGGTAGGGATAAAATACTTGCAATACATATGATGGCAAAGAACTTGTAATCAGAATATGTAAAAAACTCCCACAAATCAACAACACAGACACAAAAAAGACCAAAAAGCACAGTTAAACGTGGGCAAAATGATGATGCCAGCTACTGGGTGGAGAATAAACATAGTGGAGGTAAAGGCAGAAGCAAGGAGACAGACAGGAGGCTGCTGCATCAGCCCTGATGGGGAAGGACCCGCTCAGACACACAGGGGAGAGGGGAAGAGCTGGGGCCTGCTGGGAGTGCTGGGCAAGGAAAAGAAAGAAGAGAAGAGGAGGAGGAAGAGGCGAGGAGGAGCACGGGAAGAGGAAGAAGCCTAAGGAACCAAGGTAAATGTGATGTGAAAAGGGATTGTCTCTCTTCCATGAAAAATGAAGAAGGACAGAGATCGAAGGGGAGGTCCTGGAGACTCAGACAGGAACCTCAGGGCCCCTGGAGGGAGGAAAAAGTGGCTTATGGCTCTAAGCCAGTCAGTTCCCCCAAGCCTCAGTTTCCTCACTGCAAACGGGGAGGACTGGACTGGAGGGCATTGAAGTCCCTTCCAGCCCAGCCACGCTCTGCCATATGGTCTTCTTCAAGCCCCGAGAAGTTAAGTGACTTGCCCAAGGCCACTCAGCGAGCTGTGAGGAAATGCAGTGACAGCGCTGGATAACAGGGCCACAGCAATAATCTGAATGCAGGAGGGGCGTATGGCTCCCAGGAAGTCCAGCCCCCCATGGTCCAAATTGTGACTCCCTCCCTGCCCTGCCTCTGGGGCCACCCTGTTGACCCCAACTCACGCTGCTCTTCAATGTCATTCTCTTCTTCAGAGACCTTGGCTTTATAGTAGGTGATGCCCCGGATGACGGTGGGCTGGGAGGCCGGCCGGCCTCTCAGGTGAACCTGCCTCTGCAGGGGCCGCTGTGACCTCACCACCTCAGGCGGAGCCAGGGGTTGCTTCTGCAGAAGCTCGATGGAGTTGATCTGCTGGGACACGGTTTCTTCCTGCAGAAACTGCTCTTCATACTGCTCCTCAGACGGGACACAAGGGAAGGTCAGGTCACTGGTCAGAGAGGCAGTGGGCAGGTGGGGGCAAGGCTGAAGCCAAGGCTGTGCTAATAACAGCAACATTTCCGAAGAGCCAAGCACTGTTCTAAGTGCTTTATACGTTTACATATGTCAACTAATTTAATCTCCTCATCAGTTCCATGAGGTAGGGCCTATTTTTATCATGATCATTTACATTTCAGGGAACAGAGGCACAGAGAGGTTATATAAATTTCCCAAAGTCCCACAACAGGTAAGTGGTAAGGCAGATTGAAGCCAGGATGTCTGGTTCCAGAATCAACATCTCTATACTTGACGCATACTGCCCAGAGAATTCAGTCCTCCTCTTGGCTCTGGCCTAGGGATACTGGGTGACTTAGATCCGGTATAAGTTGTTTTGGGTGAGATCCATGTGAGGGGAAGGATGCCTGGGCTGGGACATGAAGCCCAAGGACCAGGATGCACACTGCCTCAGGATGAAGCTTGTTACAGCAATCAGAATGGACTTCCTAAAACACATGTCACCCCAGCCCCCAAACCCTTCGTCCTGCGTACAGAATAAAGTCCAAAGCAAAACTGAGCTTGATCTAGCTCAGCATTCTTCTCTCTTGTTGCGTGCCCTGCACCCCATGCCTTAGGTACTCCAGTCACTTGGCTGACTACTGAAACTCTTGGCTCTCCTGAGCCACTGGATCTATGTTCAGCCTGTTTTCTCTGCCTGGAAAACCATTATACCTCCTTCTCCCATATATCTACTTCTCAAGGCCCAGCTAAAATTTCAGGTCCCCAAGGAAATACTCCTGGACCTTCTAATTCAGAATTAATCAATCTTCCCCAAGCCTCATTTTGTGCTTTATGGCAGAGATTTCTCATTGATTACCCAAATTCCCTGCCCTCTTGTTCCTTACTAATGAAGACGTGGTTTTATGGGAGTGGGCATGGGTCTGAATTCTGGCCAGTAGGGTATAGGAAGAAGTTGATGGGATGTGCATTTGGAAAAGTTCTGTATAAGGGGGGCTGATTCAGCTGGGAGGCGTCTTTTGCTCTCTTCCTCATTTCTCTGGACTGAAATGTGGACAGAATGGCTGGAGCTGAGCAGCCATCTTGTGATCATGAGGGGATTTTGAGGATGAAAGTCACTAACAACATCTTGGAGCTAATCATGCCAGCCCTGGACTGCCTGCCTCCAGAGTTTCTTTTACGTGAAAGAACAACAAATATTTCTATTGTTTAAGGCACTGTATTTGGGTCTCTTACCCAAGCCGAACACAAGTCCTAATGAATACAAGTCTGTGCTTCTGCTGTAGCGCCTCTCCTAGCCTGCTTTCCACAGGCACTATTTAGGGATGTTGCTATCTCTGCAGACTATGGGAATCTGAAAGAAGAAAGACCATTTCTTGTTCATCTTTGATTCCCCTGGATGGAGGCTCCCTAATATTTGTTAAATTGAATTTCTGAATCATAACAAATCCCAAAGAATTGTCTACATTGGTAACTACTTGGCATTTGATTTTGTCAAAACAAATGATGCTCACATGGCCCGGTGACTGGGCATCTGGATGGCGCTGTGAGAGTGCCCCATGACAGTTCTGATCATGTAGATGGACCACTCTGTCCTCCATAGAGCTGCTGCCCAAGGAGGAGCCCCTGTGTCCACAGTGTGGCAAGATCTCTGGTGCTGTGTCGGTCTGTCCAGTCAGATTCCCCGTCCAGGACTATAATCACCCACCTTTGAAAGCAAAGGACCTTGGGCATACGACCTGTGAACTGACTGTGCTCAAAGTCAGGGCCACCCCACAGGTGGGTCCAGCTGCTTTGGTGGCTCCATTAGAGAAGTGTGGAAGCCTGAGAGGAGTGTGGTCCAGCCCTGCTCTCCCCAGGACTCCAGTGGCTGAATAATGAAGATGCAGCTTCCTGCAGCCCCCTAAACCATGAGGTCCCTTCTCAACCAGGGGGAGGTGACTGAGTTCCCTTTAATCTTGTAATTCTAGGCCTGGTGGAAGCCACCCAGAGAGCAGAGCCCATGTGGAAACAAAACCTGTGTTCCTAGATGCCCAGTGTCCCGAGGCAGGGCAGGGCCTTTAGCCACTCCATGTTGGCTCTAGGAACCCGGCCACCATGGCCAATGTGCTCCTTTTGCACAGGAAGAAGCAAACCAAGCTCTTGCTTTGATCTTTACAATTTGGCCTGGAAAAAGCCCTGAGTCCTCATTACCCCCAAGGACACCCCCAAGCCTGTGCCTGTTTTCTCATGACAAGAGAGTTCTGGATGGCACAACCGATGGGGTTGTGTATCTCTCTCTCCCTAGCACACAGTGGTGACCAACTCCTGAAAGGCAGGGGACACCCTTCTGCCAGCCTCCCCTGTCTGCCCAGAGGAAACAGGCCAACTTGCCCGGCTGTGCCTGGGGCAGCCCCTACTCCTGCTCCTTGCCCCTCCCTCAATTCTCTGTTCTTGCTGGTGATGTAACCTCCACCTGAGCTGTAGCGGGTATCTGGTTGGTGGAGATGATATTTTAATGGATACCTATTATGGCCATGTCCTTTGTATTATTTTAACCCTTACAATAATGGGGAAAGTAGATACCATCATCCACATTTTACAGATGAGGAAACAGAGGCTCAGAGTCGTTCAGCAATTTGGTTGAAAGTCAATCAGTTCAGTGCTGAGAGGGGCAGTTCTCAAGTCACACAACTCAGGTCAGCCCCAGGCTGCCTGCCCTCAGAGCCTGCCTCTTCCTTCCATTAAGCCTCTGCCTGCAGCTGTGACCACAGGACTAACTCGCCTGCCATCCAAAAACTTGCCTGCCTCCCCTAGTCCTCCGGGTCGTGGTCTGGCTCCCACCCAGCAGACTTGGGAGATCCCTCATTTCCCATTAGGAAGAGCTGCTCGGCAGGCTGTCAGGAGACCCTGGCCACAGCCCATGACTCAGACACTGAAGGGCATCTAATTACTGGACCCTGGTCTCCCTCTGCATTGCAAAAGCAGGTTGTCATTTCTTCGCCACAAACCCCAGGAACTGTCTTTAATTCCAGGCTCTCAGGGAAGGGTGGGAACTGCAGTGCTTTCTCCCAACCAAGGAGATGGAGCAAGACCATGGACAGCCCTTGCCAGAGAACATATAATTTCCTCGGATCCACTGGCGACAGGCTGCGCTGGGTGGCAGCGGCCCCTTCCAAGCTTCGATTTCCTTTCTCTATGAATCCAAGAGTCTGTTGTATGACTTCAGCTCCTGGAGTCGAATGTTCCTACTCCCACCTTGCTCTCTCCACTCTCACCCTGCTCTCTCCATTCCCAACCCTGCCCCCAGAGCCCCATGCCAACCCCTCAGGCAAGGACCATCTTAGAGAGAGGCCCTCAACAAATTACCACTTACCATTCCAAGAAAGCTCTGACATAATCTACAGGAACCCTAAAAATAAACAACCAAACCCAGTGCCTCTTCCACCCGCTTTTTGGCGTGGGGTTCACTAAACAGAGGGATGGCAAGATCCTGCCTTGGGGCCTCCTGCACCACTTCCCCTTTCTGCCCCACCATCCTTGTGGGGAAGGATTGTGCTAACTTCAGCAGCGTGATGAATGGGGACTGGAGGAGGGGAAGGGACTTTGCTGAGCAAGGAGAAAAAGGGTTTGGTGTGTTTGATTTGGTTTTTGCTGTTTGCCCTCAGGAATTCTGAACTGAGTTCCCGAACATACCACATAATGTGTCATCAAGACGACAGATGCATTCTTAAGCTCAGCCGACTGGGAAACTGAAAGCCAGAGCAGGAAAGGGACGTCTGGCTCCGTTGGGCAGCTGGGCCGCTGATGCCAGGTGGGCTGAGATAAGAGACACTGCACCCAGCTGTAATGAGTGGGAGCCATCAAGTTCCCGTCCAGCCCAAATGTTTTCTGGCTCCTTGGTTTATGAGCTCAGACCCACTCAGAGATGACCCACCAAGCAGACTAAACACTTGCTCAGTAGCCAGCATGTCAGGTACACCCAAAAATGAGAATCAAAATAATTTTTGAAGAAATATGATATTTCCAAAAAAGCACCAAAGTAGTCATCATGGGCAAAGCCAGAAAATTATCGACCTTTTTTATATCTATTTTATGGTTTGGAATTTTTATTTTGAGTTACATATTGGGGAGGGTGGAGGCACCATACTCTTTTCAGGACTTGTTGCCTTAAAAGCCCCAATCTGCCTCCAGTCCTGCCTTTGGAACACGTGGGCCTAAGATCCCCAAACCCAGCTGCTGCCTGCCTGGCACCCTTTGATGAACTACCCAAGAGTTTCAAGCCCACATACCCAGCCTTCCTTTCTTTCTTATCTAAATCCTTAATGGCCCAGGCAACACAGTCCTGCACAGCAATGCTTCCCAAAAGTTCTTCACGTCACAGCATACAGAGAAACCAGCTCAGGGGCTCCAGCTGTCCCAGGCCCTGCTCAATCCACACTCAGAACGACTCCCCGAAGCTGAGGGGATCCCTCAATGGCCCACCTGGAACCCACTCCCCAGACACCAGTGTGTCACAGCTCTGCCATCTACCATCAACCCCTGGTAACCAGTTAAAATCAGCGAAGTCTCTCTTAAATGCTACCATCCCCTGGCTGCCCAATGACCCCTTTCACAATACCTGATCCAGACCCGTCTTGCTAATAGTGTGCCTTGCTAATAGGACTCTTCAAGTCCTGCCACCAAAACTTACCTGTTTCCTCTTCCTTTTGGACTATCTCCCAAATTAATGCCTATTTCTTGGACAACAATTCAGTAAATAACCCAATACATTAAATGGCAGCATTTAACCATTAGTACATAAACATAACTTAGTAGTAATTGGAACCAAAAGAAACAGGCACCAAATGGGGAGGCATTTTTAAGCAAGCAGGTCTTTCGGTATCACTCAAATCACATTAGACAGTGTTGCAATCATGGGTAACTTTGTGCTAGGAACACAACTGGGTAGGAAGAAACAGAGGGTTGAGATCCTTTGTCACCACTTCCCAACTGAGAGAGGGAGACCATGCCCACAGCTGGATCTGTTTCCTTATCTGTAAAATGAGGATATTGATCTCTGTCCGGCCTGCTTTTTTAGGGCTGTGACGATAGCCACATGGTATAAGGATGAAAATATGTAGTAAATTACAAAGTCCCCTATAAATGAGGAGGGAGGAAATATAATTTGTTTCCAAACTGGGGCATTTTTGAGAGTAAAAGAGGGTGCTATTAATAACCATGCCAGGGCCAGGTACGGTGGCTCATGCCTGTCATCGCAGTGATTTGGGAGGCTGAGGCAGGAGGATTGCTTGTGGCCAGGAGTTCCAGACCAGCCATATTTACAAAAACTACATAGCAAGACCCCATATTTACAAAAAATAAAAAGCAACAAATTTTTATTACCAGGCATGGTAGCATGTGCCTGTGGTCCTAGCTAATCAGGAGGCTGAGGCAGGAGGATCACTTGAGCCCAGGAATTTGAGGCTGCAGTGAGCTATGATCACAACACTGCACTCCAGCCTTGGTGACAGAGCTGGAACCTGTCTCTAAAAAAAAAAAAAAAAAAAAAAAAAAATGCTATGACAGCAGGAATAAACCAGGATGGTCCCAGACAAGCCAGCATGCATATCTTCCCTATTTACAAACACAAGAGATGTTCACAAAGGTGGGACATAAGATTGTGAAAAAAAATAGGGGCTGGGACTCAGACTCAGATTTCAGTCCTGGCTTCAATACTTGCTGAACCTCTCTGGGCTTCAGTGTGCAGTAAAATGGGGTCAACTGCTCATCAAATCTACAGAACCTGCAGAACTATTGTATGGATGAAACGAGCTCATCTCTGTTAAAAGTCTGAAGCCTGAAAAATTCTATGCAGAGAGAAATGCTGGTATCACGCTTCCAGGGCTTGTGATCAGAGGCCCTTGGAGGTGGGGGCTGTACCTCTGGGTGGGCGTAGGCTGCCGCCGCATCCCTCTGCAGGTCTGAGCGGATGTCTGGCATGCTATCTAGGATGTTTTCAGAGCAGTTTTCTTTGCCTCGCTTATTTATCTCAGTTTGAATTTCTTCCATGTCCTCTTTGATTTGTTCGTTTTCCTTGGTGAGGTTTTTAGAAACTTCCTGAGAAGGAAAAAAAAAGATGATCCATTAAAGCACCCGAAGACAAGCAGGAGGCAGCAAGCAGCCATCTTCACTCAGAGCACATAGACACAACAGACAGGCTGAGAATTCATCCAACAAATGATTGGGGCTAGAGAGTGTGCCCAGCCTTGGGCTGAGCACTGGTACCACGTCCCCTGGCAGTATTTCCAGGGCAGCTCAGCCCTGGGATATCCAACTACAGGAAATACTGCCCAAACTACCATAGCTTTTCTATTAACAACATTGCCGAGTCTCTGGGCCACCAGGACACCAGGCTCTTTTTCTGTCCTTTGTATATAGTCCACCCTTACTCAGTGTTGAAGAACATTAAAGAATTCCATTCACTCGCATCCCATACATGTGAACCAGTAGCTCAGTTCATGAAAGAGGGGCTTTCTAAGCAATTTTGGAAGAGGTGGCCAAACAAACAAACAAACAACAACAACAAAACTACTCCGCCTTTTTAATGAGCACAAAGCATTCCCTGGTACTTTAAAAACATCATTTACATAGAAAATTGATAGGCCCACTTCAAACTTTCCTATTTACCCATAAAAACAGTTTCACTAAATGACCCCTCACTTGGCAAATTAGCCATGCTCCAGACCTGGTTCATACCAGAGAGGGTCAAGGCTACATTTCAGTCAACCAACACTGGTGAGTACCTCTTGAGTGTCTAAGTGTAGTGCTACAGAAAGAAAGGCTTTAAGTATCCTTGGGGTTCTAGACCTGGGTGGGGTGGGAGAGATGTCAACTATAACTAGAGACGGACAAACCATGTCAAGTTCTGTAAATGCCAAATGTGAGGGTTCTTGAGTTCAGAGCAAGAGGAGAGTGGAGGCATCCCAGGTAGCTTCCTAGAGAAGGTGAACACTGAATAGGATTTAAATCAAGGAAAGTTGTCGACAGCCTTAGAGGTGTCCCTTCTCCTCTAGTTATTTTTAAAGAGATTTGACTACATTGAGATCCAACTTTGGCCCTCATACTAAAGTTTCCATGAGCATCTACATTTTTAAATGTGATGTCCTCCGTTGGGCCCTGTTTATGAGGTTGAGGAAGCAACAACGTAAAATACAGGATGTATTTGCTTTCTATCTTTCTTTAACTAACAGACACAGGAAGTGTAAAAGCTGACATTGCCAGGCACAGCTCTGCAGCCTGGTGGGATGCTACTAACATTCTAGAGGAAAGTCCCAGTGATGCAGAACCAGGGGACGTGGGTATATCCAGGCAGTGACACCCAGACACCGCGGCTTCAGGGGCTCCTACAGGGGCTGCCCAGAGAAGCCCAATAGGTGCTTGTTAAATGAACCTGGCTCCAGAACCATCAGCCATGCCATTCTTATGGCATTTCATTGCATGCCGGATCCTGAGCGCTGGAAGGGCTCAGTGTGTTCCATGGCACTTAGGCTAAGCCAGCCTCTCTAAATTGCACAGAATTAACTGTGAGAGCTAAATTCCATGAGAAAGAGGTCTTGTTTGAAGAACGCCCAGAATGAGTGATCTTCCTGGGTGCACAGTCACTCCTGATAGGTGTTATCTATCAGCAGGTCAAGTGTAATGCGTAAGAGCATGGGTTTTGAAGGAAACAGGTTCACCCCTCCATGCTGTTATTGCTAGATCTGAGATCTCAGGCACATTACTGAAACACCTCTGCTTCAGTTTCCCATCTGTAAAATGGGGATAGTACTAGCACTTTTCCTATAGGTTATTAGGAGGATTAAGTGAGTTAATATATATGGATGTGCATGAAACATACCGGACTAAGTGGCTGTTATCTTTCATAGAATGTTACAGCTGGAATGGACCCAAGAACTCATGCCTAACCTTTCCTTTCACAGAGAGGAACCTGAGGCCCAGAGCAAGAATGTGACTTGCTCAAGGTCACTACAAAAAAGTGACAGAGTGGAACCAGCACCCGGTCTCCTAGCCCTTGCTCCTTCCGCTCACCTGTTGGATCACTAAGAACACCAGGAGAGGATCCTGGCACACATACAGCTCTCAGCAGCACCAAGCATGCCCAAAAGCCAGAGAATACTTGCAGTTTGGGTTCAGGATACATGACAGGATATGCATAGATGCTGAGAAATACAGAAATGTTGGACTCTCATAAATCCTCACTATTCAAAGTGTGGTGCAGAGTTCAGCAGCATCGGCATCACACAGGAGCTTGTCAGAAATGCAGATTCCCAGGCCCGCGCAGACCTGCCAAATCAGAATCTGTATTTTAACAAGATCCCCAGACGCTCTGCGTACACATTGAAGTTTGAGAAGCACTGCCTTAAGTGGAGAAAGCTTGGGGCACAGCTGCTTGAAAAGTGGACAGAAATGTGTGAGAAGGTCTGTTTTATAGGAGCTGAGTTCCTTCTGGGACTGATGGGAAAAGTTCCTGGCCCCTTAGTAGGGTTCAAGCATTTCTGTAATCCATCAGCACCTGCTGAGAGCAACACCTGTGGATGCCTTTCCTGTAGCTCTCACAGCCTAAGACAGATCCCCAAGCCCAGCAAGTGCAGGGATTCAATGTGTTACCTTTTCATTAAGGCGTTCATGTGCTCAGTGCTGCACTGAGGGTTCAAGGGTGAGCAAGGCCACTGGGATCCTGCCCTGGTGAAGGCCACCCTCCATGAGGGGTAAATAGGCAATAGACAAAGAAATAGACAAGAAAATATCAACGAGTGAAAAGTGCTCTGCAGAAACTCTGCCAGGGTGATGTCACAGATGCAGGCACTGACTCCTGGGTCAGGTTGATAGGTTTCTCTGAGGCGCGGACTGAGGAGTGTCCACACCTGCGGCCCACCACTGGCCCCAGGACTCTACTAAAGGCGCTGATACCTCTGGGTGGACTGGCTGGCTGGACCTAAGCATCCTTATTATTTGACAGAAGATCTCACTAGATTCCTAAACACCCTGCATCAGTGGGTGTGGCACGCTCACTGTGAGGCAAAGGGCGCCCCCCCCAGGTCTTGGGGTTTCTAGGGCCCTAGGGAGCCCCCCTTCACATTGGTTTATAGTCTCCCATCCCCTTTCGGGTGTCAGTGAAGAGTTGTTATTCTGCATTTCCACAGAGGAGAGTTTTAGGCAAGCCTGCCCTGAGAACCCGGAGGAGTAGTACAGTTTATTCCCCTCACGGGAATGGCAAAGCCCGCCAGCCGCCTGAATAAACAAGAGGCTGGCGGTGGCATCACCCCATTGGCCTGCAGGGCTGAGCCAGCTGGTGTCCCCCAGGGCAGCAGCCACAGCTGCCTCTCCTTGGCCACCCCCAATCAGCCACCTCTAACCTAGGGGTGCTGACCCTCAAGAGCTCCCCACCTCTCCCTGGGACTCTGCGCTCGTCACACCAAAGGCCTTTGGTGAGGCAATTCTCAGGAGATGCAGGGGATGCCACCTGCGTAGGGTACCCTCGATTCTGCCCTGGGGGGATAGGTGAACCCCATGATCTCATGCCTCAGGCTTTTCCCCCTGGGACAGCTGCAACCACGACATTTATGGTGTGTGCAACTTGGCTTGTGGGCAATGCTGGCAACGTGGCAGAGGAGGTGGGAATTGCACCTATCTGGCAGAAGCAAGCGTACCCATGGCCCCTGCCAAGGATCCTGGCACAATGAGGAAGAGGGAAGGGAAGAGGGAGAAAGAGCAGATAGATAGAGGGCTGGGACAAAAGGCTGGACACAGCCAACTGTGGCAATGAAAGATCTGGGAACTTTGTCCTCGTGATTTCTTGGGCCAGGCAGAGCCAAGGAACTGAGAGGTGTTCATAGAACAAGTGCCATGTGCAGGACTGGTATGCAGTTGGGCACTGGAGGGTGCCTGATGGGAACAGGTGTCCACTGGTGCCACGCTGCCAGATGGAACAAGTGTCCACTGCTGACTTCAGCCAGATGCACACACACCAGAGGGACAGAACGTGCAAACAAGGCAGGGACCCTCGGCAAAGGGGAACCGGATGCAGGTGGAGTTAGGGGTACAGCCATCAGTCAGCCCTAGTCAGTATGGCTGGTGTTTTGACAAGCCATGGAGGGCCGGCACAACCAGATGTGTAGACTGGTGGAATGGGTATGAAGGACACAGACTGTATCCTGACCTTGTCCAGCTCTTAGACACGTGTGCGTGTGCCTGGGTGAGACTGTGTAGTGGCTTAAGCCAAAACCTTGGGACCAGGGAAAAGATGACCATGGGGCAGAACTCTGGCAGTTCTCTGTGGTCTCGCTTTTACAACCAGAACCAGGGACAGGGGTGTGTGTAGGGGAGGGTCTGGCTCTGGAGATCAGGTGTAAACCCACACCACAGTCATGGCCTGCTTATATAACCACATAGGGCAAGGGATGAAACCTCTCTAGGCCCCAGGTGGAAAAAGAAGGAATGATGACACCTACCTCACTCAGGCTTGGCATGGAGATGGATGAGGGGCTGCATGTGGTACAATGCTGGGCACAGAAATCGGGCTTGAGGCATGTGGGTGAAGCTGGAGTGGAAGGGACCCTTGGGGTCTCCATAGCAGATATGCAGGTGGAAAAGGAAAGGGAAGCTAGGGTTTGGTATGGCTGGCGTGGGGAGGAAGGTAAGTACCCAAGGCTGGTGTGCTGTAGAGAGACACGTTAGACACCTGTGGGAGTAGACGAAGCCAGACTGCAGGTGGGCCAAACTCTGGCCCCAAGTCACACAGCAGGTGCACACAGCCACATCTAAGGAGGCTGCATAGGAGGCCGCCTGGTAGGTCCTGTGGGCATCAGGATTCCCTGGCAGATAGCTGGATGTGCACAGGGCTAAGATCCAGATGGCAAGCCCAAGGGCATATGGGACATAGTTTCTCGTGGGAGTGAACTGAGCAAGTGTGAGGGTAACTGGACCCAAGGAGGGAGGGCTCGCAGTTCCCATCAGCTCACCATGCTCACCCTTTGCACCATCCAGGAGACAGCTAGGACCAGATGGCCTGGGACAGCCACCCCAGCTGACAGCTGTCTCCTAGCCCCTGGTAAGAA